TTTCGGTCTAACATTTTAAAGTAAAACTCTATTACTATTACTATAACTCTATTACTATTACATTATCAAAACTGAAATTCTCAAAAAAAAACTTTGCTGCCGTAGCAGCTTTCCACTCAAGATTGAACGTGTCATCCTTGTGCAGGGGCCATGCTAATCTTCTCTGTATCGTTCCAATTTTAATAAGTGTCTCTACCGAAGTAGGACGATCAAAGTGGGAGCTTCAGGTATTTATATCATGCTCATATTTTCGTGAAACAAATTTTGGGACAAATTTGGGCCAATCAAAAATGTGTTCAGCCATATGTCTTACTTGATGTCATGTGACTTCCCGTAGTCAGCATAATTATTAATTAAAATAAGACGTTTATTTTATCACTCAATCAAACAAAATGATCTAAAACTTAGGATTTTCCACTCTGCTTAATTCAATATTACGAGGTACATTAACTACTCATTACTCTCGGATGACTAACTACTTACAGTCAATCCTCTCTAAATGCAATGCATCGGGACCATATGGCTAAATACTTGCATTTAGAGAAAAAATATATAGTGATTGTACTTGGGGACGTTGCATGTCGAGAGGGTTGACTGTATTTTTTTTTTCACAAAGTATGTCAACCAATTTGTGCCGCTTCCGCAAGCAATTATCTCCGCAATTCGGTTATAAGAACAGTAAAGGTTTCCTGACTTGAGTTGATAAATTTCCGTTTTCTGTAAATCAGTTAGTACTCTGGACTTTTTTTTTTTTTTCAGAAAACAAGGTTATTTGTTGTGCTACACGCAATTAATTAATTATGGCCGGTATCGGGAAATTCTTATGTCGACTGAAAAATTTAAACCCCGGTATAGCCGGGGAGGCTATTACTAATAGAGGTTTCACTGTGATAACGCGTTTGAACATCCCCGGGAGTATGACCGAGGAGTAAACACAACCGATGGATGATATCGTACCGAACAAAGTCGCTAGGCAATAAAAAAAATCTTGTAAGAGTACAAAGATTCTACAAAGGACCAGGTGCTTTGTTCGGGTCTGTTAACTCGAGCATTGTCAAATAGATAGGTTTCGCATTAACTTTTGTGTAAACCGTCATTCGTAATCACAATTCACGTAGAAGCGACAAACTTTTTTACAAACTTTTCTGAATGCAAAATGTGAATACATAAGTGAATTATTAGTGGTATAATTTGATATGACGGAAACAATTCATCGGTGCATTAACAAAAGACATTCACAGTGTGGTGCGCAAATTTAAGCGTGTTATTTTCAAATAACAAATTTATGCGTTCTAAATCAGATTCACTTTTTCAAATGACCACACATAAGTCTGTTATTGGTAATGGTCACATTGAAAGTCATGTACAAAGCGGAAATACATAAAATTTATTACTCCTGGTCTCGTATTATAAAATGGACATGGTTATTTATTATTCTTCGATCATTAAAACAACATTGTACACTAGACAGATAATAGACCATAACGTTAAATAAAATTCTATGTATCAGGGAATAAATAAATATTACATAAAAAGTCAACTGTTAATTCTCATATAACACGTGGAATTTGTCAAACTTTCGTTCTATTATCGCTTCTACACAATTGTCTTCTCGCTTTCATCTATTCACGTACTCAAGAATTCATGCACTATTGAAACAACATACTCTGGACGAAACACGTGAAAGTTGTGTCCTTCCCCCGTGAGTTTGACGAGTTTAGCATGGGGAATGTAAGACATGACTTTTGCCGCGTGGACGTAAGGCACAGTAGTATCTTTGTCACCCTATGAGATATATTAAGTATTGATTGAGAAAAGGCTCGCTTTCACACCAGCATTTTGCTCCGACACACCGTAACAGACGCGTTTTACTGCGAAAATACACTTTGTTTCCTATTTTACTCACCCATATGATCAACACTTTTATATTCAGTTTCCCTACTGCTTCATACGCTTCGCCCAAATCGGAGAATGGAAAATGCCTGACTGTTGAGGCAAAAGAATTCAAAAATCCGAGATGATTGGCAAATTGATAGCCGGAAATTTGTTGCAGTTTTTTGAGTCTCAAGTCATTCGAATCATCGGGATTCCGAGATATGTGCCAGCGGAGAAGAGTCTCTATCAATCGCTGATGAGAGAAGAACAATTCTGTTAGTTTTAATTATAGTATCTCGCGTATACCCCGGTAGTGAAGAAACAAGTCTGACAACTTGAAACGGATACTCGGAAACAAGCATCTCCAGTGGGGTATGAGCGTTTTAGAAGAATCAAATGACACTTACTCTCGTGAATGAGTTAACAAGAACAGAAGATACTCCCGGTAATTTTAACGCCCTCGCGTAAACAGGTATATCAATTGTATCCATAAGCCCTACGGGAGCCAGCAGTATCAATGAATTGACATGCTCCGGAAAGTATCTGGTAAATGACACTGCGATTCCTCCTCCCTTGAAACATGACAAACTTATTAGTTGTGGCTTATCAGATTCATGGCCCCTTCTGTATCAATTCGCTCAATAAACGCATTTGTCTCCAAGTTATCGATTAACGTACCAATGACAAGCCGAGAAGATCCGTCTTTTTCCAACCGATTTTCCCTAACAACATTGCAAGCTGAGAAACAAACAACGCATCGGTGTTTGGTGCAGACGGGCTAGCTGAATATCCTCTTCCGTAAAGATCTATATTCAATAATGTAACCGATTTATAATTACACAACGGCGTCAACCAGTTACGAGAGTCAAGAATTCGTTTATTGGATTAGTCAATATAGATAGATGCAAATAACGGACCTTTGTAAATTATTGACATTAGCGAGACTCCATACCAAATGCTAACACTCGATACCCTTTCTTCGCTAAGTCTGTTGCTATGTCGGTGAAAATCGCTGCAGGAGCTGCTATGCCATGAACAAGCGTTATCTATAATAGATTTGCACGGAAGTTTTAAGCAAGTTTGCAAAAATTTCAATGAGCACACAACTAACAAAATACCTTTTTTCCGTCTTCAGGACCAATTAACCAATATCTTGTCTTTCCATATGGCAAGTCGACATATGCACCACCTAAACAAGCATAGCCAAAAGTCTTTTAATTCGTTTATCCACCTTCATATTCCCAGCGCTCTTGTATCTCCATGCCCATTCATTGCATCGAACGTACTAATACTGCCATTCTATGTTAGCATATCTCGGCTTTATATTCTCCTTATAATATCTCTCGTCTACCTGGATAATGATCCGGTAAATATGGGATGGTGCTCTTGTCGATGGCATCGTTCTCCCAGGAATCTTTATATCCAGATAACGGAGTATCGTATGGATATAGCATCAACAGGAGCGGAATCAAAGCAAAAATGATAAGCTTGTTTGACATTATTAATGGCTTGTTGTTAATAGAGCAAGTCTAATAGCGAGTCGATTACATTATATCGGAAATGATTGTTTATTGGTTTATGCATTCTTATCGGTAATAAGTTCCAACAGACTACTAAATGCAATCCGATAGTCACCTGCTGTATCACTTTCCGCAATTATATTTAATGACGACTATGGTAAGTCTTATTACAATCATTTTCGCTTTGCAGCAAGAAATTTACCTGATATTCTACCGTCCGTGATCTGTCTCGTGATTTCCTTCCTGAGATACCAATTTCCTTTCAAGTATATCGCTATTACGAACCCCGGAGTTTTCGCCGGAGAATTGTAATAAAAAGGTTTTAAAATTGTTATTTAATTGTTTATTTATTATTTGATTGATTCATTTGTATGGCAAATAAGGTATATTTGTTGCCTGATATATCAACTTATTTGGCAAGTTTCAGGGTGGATTCACTCTAATAATGAAAGAGTGCGATTCAGGAGCCTGTGTATTAAACATCGATTGACATTATTTTTTTTGACGAAACAGTAATTGCAATAGAAACAGTTAGTATTTAAATAGCAGCATGCCTTTTGCGGGCAGGTAAATGAATCAAGTATATGATTGGATAGCATCGCTTCCCTTTCACATGGGCTTCATGACCATGTACTTAGAAATAAAAATGCTGATTTACAGGAGATTTAATTACACTGGTGAAACGAATGACAGAAATGTCCAACTTTTCACCGAGTGGAGTATCACTGAATTTCTAGACAATGTTGGAAAATCTATTCTCGATAACGGAGGTCATTCAGATAAAACTCGTCAAAAGATGAGTGCTTCGGTTGCCTAAAGGTTTCTCCCAGGGAATTCAATCAGGCCATTCATGCCCGAGAGATAATTATCCATAACAGCGATGTCTTATGCAAATAGCGTATTCAATAGCGGTACCAGGCTTTTCCGAGTAGGGACCCATTTCTCATATGATAATAATATGTGATTGATGCTTTGTCATCAACGGAAATTTGTTTAGAATAAATATAATTTGCAGATGTTTCAAATTACTTGTTTGCTGTGAGATTTACGATAAGACTAAGGCTAACCAATAATATGAGAAAGAAATTGAATGAGGAAAGTAACAGTAACTCAACATTGTTTACTAATGTTTACGATTTGGATTGTGCATTATCTATTTTCTTCATAACGAGAAGAAAGCCAGTAGAGATTGTTTATCCTTTCTTGAGGGCAATATTTTCCATATTGATAGACTTTTGTCTTTTAATGGGATTTTTTTTTACGTTCCCAAGTCAATGTTTGATTGTTCATCGTTTGTCCTTCTACCCATTAGTAAATCTTGCAATAATGATTGAAATAACACCCTAAATATTTAGATGGGTATGTCGTAGTAATGTGCTATAATTTAACTGTCGATTCTCGCCTACTTGTGGGTGTACGTTCCTTTCTATTATCGATTTATACTATTAAGCGTCAATTTTGTGCTGATCTGTCCCGCAAATAAAGTCGTAGTAACAATCTGAAATATGAATGAATTTAGACAAATTTCGCGCAAACCGCATAGCGAAGCTTAATTAACTCTTGAAAGCACTTCGTATAACATTTAAGTGATTGTTTTGGAATAATCATGTTTTTGTTAAATCACGGTTACCGTATCCTCTCATAAAGATTCATGATTACGTATTCTTATGTAATAAACTATTGTATTGGTTGTGGGGGGTTGCTTATTCGCGAGGAAATATGATATTAATCGTACACCCACTGAAAAAAAAAAAGTATCGGAACAGAGTCTTTTTTTTTTAGCTTTATCAGTTTGCGACTTGGTATTAGACACGCTCTGACAAGAGCACAATTCGCAGCGATTAATGATTTAAATCAGATACTTTGCGCGAAGTACAGTACCGTCAGAATGCACACTTTTACTTGCTCATTGTTTGCTTGAAGTTATACGAAGTGCTTTCAAGAGTTAATTAAGCTTCGCTATGCGGTTTGCGCGAAATTTGTCTAA